TTATTATTCAGCTACTTTGAGCTAGATTTCTGCAAATTTCAGCTATTGCTACATTTAGCTTGGCTTTTAATACATTTTGCATTTGGCTACCATGTTGGTGATTTCGGCTAGCATTTGCTACTTTTAGCTTTTATCTAGTCTTCTGCAGCTTTTATTTTACAGCTAGCCTTCAGTCGCTTTTAACTACTGTTCTGCTAATTTTAGCCAAGTTTCTGCATATTTTAGTTTTTGCTCCTTTTGATATATGACCCGTCACATCGAAACAAGGATTAAGTCCAAAAGTGGAACAAGGAGAAATGGGCAGATATAGGGTTTTGATTTAAATGTGGGCAAAAATTGCATTTTGTCAAAAATATAATGAATTAATGATTTAATAATGTATCATTTGAATGAACTGTCTTTTTTAGTAGCAACAAAAAAACTGATTTTGAGGAAAACCCACCTTAAAATTTTTGAATTTTTCCACTGTGAGCTAGCAATGTTTTTGTTTTTTTTCCAACTGGGAAATCCTAATATAGAAATACTACAGTATTTGATGTTTCCTCTTTATATTGACATAAAAAATTACTCAATAAATTTTATAAAATCAGGATTCAGAACAAAGAGTTATGTATTATTGTAACCAACAAGACAAATTAAGTCATATCTCTGGATAAGCTTAGAATGATCCAGGTGTCAAAATGTGGCTTTTAAAGCAGGAATCTGAAAATGTAGTTGGGTCATTTTGACCAAATTTAACTTAATCCTCATTTCGATACGATGGCTCACATATTTTTAGCCTTTTGGTACCTTTATGGTGATTTGTGCTTTACTGTTGGTTGCAGCTTTTGTTTGTTTTTAGCTAGCCGTCAACCTTTGCTAACTTTTTGGTGAGTTTGGTTTATTTTGGTACCTTTTAGCCAGCTTTATTCTACTTTAAGATTTTAGCTAGTCTTTTGATACTTTTAGGTTTTAGCTAATGTTTGTTAACTTTAAGCTAGCGGTTTACGTTTACAATTTGCACTTTGTTCAGCTTCTTTTAACAGTTTGTTTTAGTTTTAATTTAGCTCAAATTGACTAACCATGACCAAAGATTAATCAGAATCTGTAAGAATGAAGTCCATTGAGTAAACAGAGATCTGTGTTTAAATATTGACCTGAGTCAACAACATATATTTTTTACTAAACGTTTAAGGCAAACAGTGTTTTCTAACTACGTCTTTATTGAATAGTAATTCTCATTAGAAACATTTAAAATCAGTTCATGCTCCTAAATATAGTTTAGTTTGAGGATTTTATTTTATTTTTTTTACAGAATGTTTAAGTTGGTGTCACCAACTTTAGAGCTGTCTAAACTTTACAAAACGTTTACAAATTATTAACAATGTCTGTAAAGAAGTCACTGCTGCAGGATAGTAACATTATAAATATCAGTTTTTGAAATAGAGGTCTGAGTCTGAAAATGTTTGTCACAAAGATTTGAACATGTGCAACATTTACCTCTCTCTCTCTCTCTCTCTCTCTCTCTCTCTCTCTCTCTGTTTCACCTGTTTGTGTCGTCGTCTCGCACCCTCAGGTGGACCCGGTTCGATCCAGATCAGCTCGGTCCACTGCAGCCTGGAGAGAAACACAGAGATGATGAAGAACAGCGCTCATCATTGTCATCTTCATCCACCTCTAACTGGACAGATCAGGTCCTTCCACATCCTCCTCCACACCCACACAGCAAACATCAGAAGGAGGAGGTGAGGTTTGACTTCAGTTTATGAGGTGGACTTTAGTCTTCATCTCTCAGCTTTAATATAATCCGGTCGGAGGGTGGCAGTAGGGGGTGGGGGACAGATAGAACTGGGTGTCATCTGCATAACAGTGAAATTGGATATTAGGTTTTCGAAAGATATTTCCGAGTGGAAGGAGGTAAATGATTAAATATGAGAGGACCGAGGACAGAACCTTGTGGAACACCAGAATCGAGAGGAGCTGAAACTATGCATATAGCCAGAAAGGTACGAAATAAACCAGTTAAGCGGTGTGTCTAAAATAAAATGTTTAAGCCTTGTGTTACATCTTAACTGCTGAAATAAGCTCTCGTTGTCACAGTTTCACGATGAAAACAGTTTTTTTTTTACAGCTTTTTGTTTGACAGAGCTGACTACATGTCAGGGCGAGGTCTTTTTCTGGATCAGCTGACAGTGTGGGAACAGCTGGAAGCGCTGATGATGATGATGTTTCGCTCTGCTGTCCAATCATAAAACAGTTGCACTGGAGACTCACATGTCAGCTTTATGAACAAAACAAAACATTGTGTTGTTTGTGCTGAGAAAACAGGACAATAAGGTGATATTTAACCTGAGCAGGGAGGAACGCAGCAGCCGCCTGCAGGCTAGGAGGCTTTTAGTTTCCAGCTGGAACAATCGCACCGAGTGAAACCTCTTTTCAGTCAAAGTGACTCTGCAGCAGAAACAGTTCTGCACATTTTACCCTCATTTCTTTAAATCAAATTCGCTGCAGGACTCGTGTCGTCTTGTTTTAAAATGTTTTGGAGTAGTTGTGTTTGCAGGTGGAGCCTCTTTCAGGTTCTGTCAGTTCATTTGTTGGCTGAGCTGCCAGAGTTCAAGTTTTAATTAATCCCTAACGTCTTCCACATGCATGTCTTCACTGGTCTAGCTCAACGAGCACTGGTAAAGGGACAGGCGCTCCGACACGTGCTGATCACGTGGGCAGGTTGAGACGGTTGTCAGCTGCAGACCAGGTGTGTGTTTTCAGGGTGTGACTCACGAGGAATCAAACAGCGCATGAGCAGACAGCTGCAGCTCCTCATCTGTCTGACTGGATCAGGACCGGGACCAGACTGGAACCAGACTCACTGGTGACTGTACTGGGAGCTGGTTTTGGCCCCACACTCAGGTGTTGCAGTGACGGCGCCCTCCGGCGGCTGCAGCCAGTGACGTTTATAAAACCAAACATTAAAAGTGATCCTGGCCGTCATCAGGTGGCGCTGCAGGAATGTGCTTCCTTCAGCAGTTTTCCACATATAGTGTAATTCTGAAATGCAGGTACGCAATCTGTGTCAACATAACACTTCTGTCGGCATTCTTCACTCAGTCTGAGTGTCAGAAATCTAATCTTCATCCACAGAACTCCCCTGTGGCTGTCAGCAGCTTTGACCTGTTTTCACTCATTTTCTGCAGGTAAACACACCTGGTCAGGAGCCAGACACAAAGCTCATTTAACCAAGTTTTAAAATTTTATATACATATATACATATATATATA